AATTGTCATCTGAGTTGAAGTATACGAGTAAATCACTGTGATTAGATAATGTCAAGGGTGAGTGTGCAAATATGTTTTCTCTTGATACTGTAGAGTTCTGTTTTTTACTTTAGAAGGGTTTTCACTGGAATCGAAATGGCGTTTCCTCGAGCACTACAGTCTGTAATCGAACAAAACATTGTTGTGTAATTTCATGAATGAATCAACATCAACATTAATTTCAATGATACATTGTACACTTTGTGCCGTTGATCAGTACCCAATTATGAGAAGAAAACTAATCTGCTTAGGATAAGTATGATTTCGATTAAAATTCATTTGCCAGTCTCTATTTATAACTTCATGTGTATTCTTCACATTGTTACTAGCAAATGTGTTGTAAGTACTTAATTTGGACGTAAAATTCGTAGGTTCTTGCATGTAATCAATTATTCTTTAGTGTTCTGCATTATCCGTTCTCCTGCTGTTTTGCGAGGAGTGTTGAAGGCAGTTAGTAAGATAATTTGGTTATTCTTTTGAGGTCAATATTAATACGATTGTAGATAAACATCGAATGTCTTCCTAAGGCCTGGCAGATGTTCCCTTATCGAATACTAACAATCCTCTTCATTCATATCTTTCCCCTTGTATATGTTTAGGTGGAACAAGATGTCATTACATTAGAATCCATATATGCAAGCAAAAGTATGAGAGCTTCACAGTGCTTTTGATGTGCAGATCAGTATGATAAGGATTGGATGTTTGCTTAGTCACACATGTAGTTAGTTTATCAGATGTAAGATGAGTTTTTTGTTCCACTATCCTTATTATTACTTATTATTGATTGTTCGTTAAGGTTGGATGGTGTCGGCCTTTCAATGTAAAAATATATTTACATTCTAATCAGGCTAATCACGTATTATTGATCTGAATTGTGTTGAGGTCCTGTAGAATAGACACTGGGATGAAATCTACCGTAGATATCCGTCTAAAATAAATTAAAGTCCCAAACATGTAGACGAAGTGGATCCGAGCGTTATATCAATAGTTTTATTCTGTATTACATTTTGATACAAAATAGAAATTCTCAGCACAGAGTATTTCAACAAGTTTCTTGCACAAAAAGACAGAACCGAAGAGAAGAATAAAGAAAAAAAGTTTAAAAAAAGAAATCTCAAAAACTGTACAAATTTTTAAATTAGAGACATGTTAGGAAGGTGGGTTATTGTCAAGGTTAACTCTAACAACCTGTTCTTCACAGTGTATATTTGCTAGGTAAGGTATTATAGAACTTTTATACTTTTGCTTGCGTGCATGAACTTTAATGTGATTACGTCTCGTTCAACCAGAAGATATACAAAGAGAAAGATAAGTGTCTAGGGGTTGGTTAGTATCTTATAAAATAACAACTGCCAGGAGTTTGCATGACTTAAGATGTCTATCCACAACCATATTAATTATGACCTAGAAAGACTCACCACACACATTGATAAATGCCTTTAGCACTCTTCGCAATACAACAAAGTCTTTTCTCAATAGCCCGAAAAAGAATAATGGAAACAGTAAAGAATAATAGGTAATATGCAAGAATTGACAAATTGTAAGAGTAAATTACGAGTAATCCCAAGAGCTTGCAATCTATTTATGTAGTAAGTCAGACGGAAAACCTTCTTCGATAACAATAAATTGTGAGAAGACCAAGACAGATCAGAGGAAAAGGTGACACCGATATAATTGACCTTCGACACTGAGTTTATCAAAGAGTCTCCGATGGTAAATGCATTAAGGGATCTCAAAATAGTGTTTAGGTTCCGTTCATGTCTCAAGCTAAAGTTAACAGCTTGACATTTAGACGGATTAAGTATGAGACCATTACCAACAGACCAACAATCAATACGAGACAAAAACTCATTCATTTCTATGGGATGTAAAGAGGAAGAGATAGGTATACATATAGTTAGATTGCTATAAATGTGACACGGCAGCAGATTTGAGGGTAGCGAATTATCGATCGGACCAAAGACGCGCAACACGTAGAACGACCTATGGTTCTGATTGGCCCCGGCTCCCTATATAGCCCAGCAGTTGAGTCCAGAACGCCTTGTACATCCTTTCCTTCATCCTCCGCAGTCGTTTTATTTGTGTACATGTAAGTCGATCAAAACTTACAAAGATGTTACGTCTAGTGACAGCATGGCTTTGCCATTTATATTAATTTATATTAATTAACAAATTCAAAGATATCATTAACACTACGCTTAACAAGTTCTTGGTGCAATGGTTCTAATAACTTAACTAACCATTTTGCTGTTGAATGGTATGGAGAATTTGACATATCCAGTATCGGGCGTAAAGGAACATCAAGTTTGTGAATCTTAGGTAGGCCATATAGTCGAGGGATATGCGTTCCAGAAGGTTTGAGCGCATTTTATTCACACAAAACATTTTACTTCAATTTTCTCATTGTTGTTGAGCACTGCAGTTTATCAATCTCTTATTAACATATGTGCATCCTATACGGATTACCTCGATATCACCTCAATTCACAAACATTTTGAACAAAGTAAGTGACTAGTAATGAAATGCAGGACACAGGTTTCGTTCCATTTAAGACCCATCAACTAGATAGATCTACATTCCAGTGTTCATCTATCACTTCACGACTCTAACCAATCAAAAACCATTAGACTACGGTTTTGTCTTACTACGAGAATTGAAAGTATAGTGTTGGTTGCTAGGTCAAACCCATATAGTTTATTATAGGTTCCATGTAAGGCAATTTATTCATGCTTGTCGAGTCACGTTTTGACCCTGTTCAGCATTCGTTTATCAACCTTCACCGTATTCATGTGAGGGTATGTGACTGCATCTTCTTATGCCAATTCATCACATTTCTTTAACTTATTATTGATTTGACTATGAATATAAATTAATGCTTGATTAGATTGATGTGGCTTACACGTCATATCACTTACACATTGTTTCGATTCGTTCCTCTGATTGTCTATGCAGATCAATCAGTGTACAAAATATACGTATACGAAATCCATTCTCATATTTGACCAATTTTCAATGCAGTTATTCAACAACGTGATTTAAATCGACCATTGTATACGAGGATTAGTGACTAGTAGAAAACTCTCAATTTTTCAAAATATCAATTACGGTGATGAATTGATCAGTTCAGTTCAGTCAGTTAGTCAGATACAACGTAAGACCAATGGTATACATATGTATCGATCCAAGTTGTCATACATCATTAGTATATCAAGATGAACATCGAATTCATAGAAGCAGTGAATCCAGTGATGGTGATCTCACACTCGAATGCCTATAACCTATAGACCACTGAGCTGGTCGACATCTAACCGTGTATATAAATTACTTCCTTATTCAATAATTCAATGATTATACGTTCAAGATAAAGATCCTCTGTGTTGAATCATGTGAATGATAGAAACTTTTATGTTTTCCATGAAAATATATGAATTCGTTATTAAAAAAGTATGTAGTCAACATTAAAACACGTAAATATGGTTGTAATGTATTTGTGTGTGTGTGTGTGTTTGTTGTTCTTTGTACAGGCATATTTATTATCAATTAAGAGTTACATAATCATTATGGAATAATGATAATGATTGTAGCTATAACACAATTTAATTGATTCATATACCATAGTAACAATCAGGATATTTAATGAATAAATAAGAGTTAAATGAATATGATGATAATTGTGAGTTCAAATATTAGTAAACAGGACAATGTTATGTATTCATCACATACCTACATAGATACACACACATACTTACACAAATACATACAAATATACAGACATATATACATACATGCTTAGATACATGCTTAAAGGATTCTATCCATTTAACTGCTGTTTCCAGGTATATTTTAAATTTCACGGGTTTAAATCATGAGTCAGTTGAAGCTAGACCACCATTGAAAACCTGGAAGCACTGGACGGCCGTTTCGTCCTGGTATGGGACTCCTCAGCAGTGCGCACCCACGATCCCGCACCACGCGGGGCTCGAACCCAGGACCTACTGGCTTCGCGCACGAGCACTTAACCATTAGACCACTGAGCCGGCATCCAACGGTGTTAATGTCTAACTTCAACCAATCCACGAAGTTGCGCCACCGTATACCATACCGCCCCATACCAGGACGAAACGGCCGTCCAGTGCTTCCAGGTTTTCAATGGTGGTCTAGCTTCAACTGACTCATGATTTAAACCTGTGAAAATTCTTAAATTCTCCACAAAACCCATTCTGATATATTTTAAATGTTATTTCTTAATTTATCAACTTCTGATTGGTTAAAATGTTGATTTTCATATTCTAATTTTTAGTTGTTAATTTGGATAAAACAATTTGATTGGATAATAATAATAAATCAATGTGGTGATAGATATGGCGTTTTATATAAACAAAAGAAAATATATACTCGAAAGTAGCTGATTTACGCCTGTTACTCCTTGTGGAGAAGTATTGGCTGTTCATCAGTATTCTTTATCCGGTATCCCAAACCGAGGCAGGCAATTTTCTTAGGGGGCCACGCACAGAGCCTTCGATTTACATGTCTAATCCACAAGGTAGTGGAGCAACGTTAGGAGATGCAGTCATACGGTAGCCGGTGACCAATAATCAGTTCATACGCCATTCGTTCCTGGAACCAATGTGCACCATTGGTTTGGAATCACTGTTTTCCAACTCCCCTAGGTGAATTTTCCATATCCACCAATCCAGTTCAGTCACCGGATATTCTCTTTCTGTCCTCTCAATTTCGTAAACAACAGTAATGTCATGAGAGGGTAGTGAATAGAACTTCGCTTACAGTAGTTGTATACACATAATCATGTGATAACATTTCGAGAAGTATAGCTGACTTTCCTAACCTTCGACCATACCAGGGCATTCAGAGAGGCTTTATACTTAGAAACTATTCACTAATATATTACATCATATATTTCATTTACATTCTCTTTTTCTTTTACTTCATTTTCTCTATAGCACTAGATTGTCATTTATGTTTAGCTAATTATAATTTATCTTCATTAAATTATCAAAAATGTTCATTTATATCATCACATCATGCTACAATCTTCTATGATGATTGGACACAACATTATGAATTAATTAATTATAGTGAATATGGTACATGTGTAGATGGTATTATATATGGGAATGATATAGATAGAAAATTAATTTATATTCCAGAAGTAAGTTTAATGTTTTGTTTTATTTCAATAGAACTTTCAATGGTTAAGATCATAAAAGTCATTTGAAGGCTAGATCACCATGGAAGACTTGAAATCACTAAATGGCCATTTTGTCCTATTGCGAAACGCTTCAACAGTTCTCATCCACGATCTTGCATCGCAAGGTTCGAACTCAGGATCTATCAATCTCGCGCGTGAGCATTTAACTACTAGACCATTGAGCCGACCGGCATCCAACGGTGCTAACGTCTAACTTCAACTAATCCATGAAATTTAGCGAACTATTGTGATAATAATGATGAAACTATAATTTATCAATGAACCAATCAGGCCTTGAATTCTCGGCGCCGAATTCATTCATTCAATTTGGTTAAATAGAGTTTTGGCATTATAACTTATATGAGTTCATGATGTAAACCTTCACATTGGTGTATAACTCTCATTTAGTTCTAGTTAGTTGTTGTGCGTTCTCAAGGTCACTTTAGTGTTGGTCAAAGGTCGTCCATAAATTATGGTCTCATCGGAAATTCTTTTAATTGCCAAGAATGATTTGTTCGTATGATGATGAAGTTGAATTATTAACATTTCGCTTTATATCAGAAGGTTTTGTGGAAATTGCAGTAATTTATTCATTGAGGACATCAGTCGATTAAAGTTAGATCATCATGCAAAACCTGCAAGGACTGAAACGCCTTTTTTTCCCATTGTGGGATTCCTTAGCAGTGCGCATCCATAATTCCCTCGTGAGATTCGAACTCAGGTTAAGCCATTAGTAATACAAAACAGTCCAGTAGTAAGTGCATAATTAATTAACAATAATTCTGGTACAATAAAGCACTAACAATTAATAAGTTAAATAGAAATCTTATAAATTTAATAGTTGAGATCATGAGTGATTTGAAGCTAGACCATCACCATAGAAAACCAAGAAGCACTGGTCATGGATGCGAACTGCTGAAGAGTCCCACAGTAGAATGAAACGGCCATCCAGATGATGTAGAACCTGGTACATGTATGCATCAGAACAATTTTTAACAAAGAATCAAAACAGCTAAGTGAACTTTTCAAGCGGGAGATCGGAGTAGTAGTCGTGGTAGTAGTAATATCAGTGGCAATAAAAAGCAGAGATATAGAGAATACAATTAGAGAGTGCGCAAACACATTTATAGTCTTCCGATCTTGTTCATCGAGTTCGTAATCTAATAAAAACTGCTCCTAAAGAATTATCATCAAATTATGAAACATCATCGGTTATTTCGGAATTGTGTGCTTCACCGCCTAAACGTCTAATGAAAATGTTAAGTAAACGACATGAAGTAAGTGAAATTTACTTATTTGAAATTTATTTTTATTACGTCAATGAAAAAGAATTATTTACAAGTATTCATTGAATGACAGTAGATGATTGTTGCTGTCTATCCTGAACGGAACATAATTTTAATGGACCCACAACCAATTGTTCTAATGATCAAATATTAGTCAACAGGATTGAAGCTCCCGGTTGTTATTCCTAGTGGAGTTATGAGTGTAATCTCTTACTAGAAAGAAACAACTATCCATTAATTCGTATTTTTTTGAATACCGATGTGTCTGATCATACAACTAAGATACATGCGAAACCAAAGTTCACAATATAACAATATAACATTTCTTTATTGAGAAATGGACAAATTACTAATAAACCTCAACTTATGAGTTATCTGTGGCTATTAGCGCGTCTGTATGTCTGAAATTAAAAAGGCTTACTGCAATAATAAAATAAAGATTAGTTGTGACACATGATAGTACAAATTACAGCTGATACCTGTGTCAAATCTCGATAAGGGATTATCAACAAACAAAGAGGGAATCTACTTATTTACTTACTCCTGTTACCTCTCGTCGAGTAGTATAGGCTGCCCACCACCATTCTCCATTCATATCTCTTCTTGGCAATCCTTTCCACTTTTTCCCCAGTTGCTATTCATCCTTTTTTCGTGTTTTCCTCCGATTCCCGACTCAGTGTGTAATTTGGCATTTCTCTTTTCCGTTCGCCTTTAGTATTCCAAGTTAGTCACGATTGATTGATCACTGAGTGGCGATCAATGTCATTCGTGTCTAGTCCTTATTAGTGCAAATCGAACCCGTGTCCAGGGTTTCCTGTCGACTACCTCCAACCACCATCTAATTCCAAGTTAGTGCTAACCTCGTGATGCAGTTTGGTGATTTCCGCGATATATCTCCTATTGAACTCCAGAATTTTTTTCTAATTTCCTTTTCAGATGGGACCTGGTTTGTTTTCTCCTACAGTAGGCTGTTGTTTATGGTGTCCAGCCAATTAGTGTTGAGTATCTTGCTCAGACAGCTATTTATAAATACTTATACCTTCTTGATGATAGTTGTAGTAGTTCTCGAAGTTTTAGCTCCATACAGTAGAACTGTTTCGAAGTTGTTATAGTATATTCTGACTTTGATATTGGTTGTTGCATATGTTCTTCAACTGTAGGCATGCTGTCCTTGCTTTGCCAGTCCTCGCCCTTATATCTGCATCTGATTCTCCTTGTTCATCGATGATGCTTCCCATATACGTGAAAGGTTCCACCTATTTCAGAGCTTCTCGATCAATTGTGATTGAGCTGGTGTTCTTCGTGTTGTATTTGAGGATCTTGCTTTTTTCCGTTGTGTATGTTGGGGCCTACTGCTGCAGTGGCTGCTTCTACACAGTTTGTCTTGATATACATTTGTTCATGTGAATGGGACAGAAGTTGTAGGTCATGTACAAAGTTAAAATCGTCTAGTATTCCGTGCTTTTCCTGAATTGTCGAGCTCTTCATATTCCTGTCGACCACCACCAAAAAAAAGAGAAAGAAGGAGAGTAGGCAAAAAATTTAACAACTTGTATAACTAAACTCATTTCGTGATATAAACTACGAAATCGAACTTTTTAGTAGTAAATTTGTAGATTTCAATTCTAATGTTCACTGTTAGACATGAGCAACCTAGTTGCGATCTCATGGTATAGAGGTGATTGTACATGTACAAACCACAATGTCGACGCATTTCGAATGAGAACAAAATATTTGTATTCAATGCTTATTATTTTATATTGTTTTTCCAACTTTAAGTTAGTTGCCTTGGTGCGAAATTGCATATTGTATAATAGTGGTAAAAAATCGTCTTTGTGAAATATTGCCCTCGAATGTCCTGATGTGGTCGAGGGTGAAGAGATTCCACTCTTAATATCGAAACGCTTCCAAATGGCCACGCGTATATAATCACTGCCAGGGAAGTCCTACTAACTGCTTTTTCGTGGTGAGGGTGTTTTTTGTTAGATTACGAGGATGAGAAGCGAATGTTTGGCGCTTTATCTAGTCGGTGGATATGGAGCGTCCACGTAGGGGAGTTGAAAAAGCGTAATTCCAAACCAATGGTGTACATAGGCTCCAGGATCACGAGGGAACAAATGGCGTATGAATCTATTGTTGGTTACCGGTCACCATATGACTACATCTCTTAACATTGCTCCACTGTCTTGTGGATTAGACCACTGGTCAAAGGCTCCGTGTGTATCCCTTTACGAGAACCACTTGCTTCCGTTGTAGCATCCGGTTATTATCTCTCACACAAATCGAATAGTGAAGTGTGGTGCATATCTATTTGGTGCCTCCTTCTACATATGTTTATGTGTTTAAATTATATTTATATTCCTTAATGCAAACTGAAAAAGTCTAATTAAATGTTTTCCAGTAAATTCACAAGAAATCATTGAACCCTAAATTTAACATTCAGCAGCAAGTCATATTTACACTTTGAAAAACTTGCATACTTCTCTATGCATTTAAATGGATATTATTAAACAGAAAATATCATCATTGGAACTCGTTCACTACTGAGGTTTCAGTTAGTTACAAGGCAAACTCACTCGTTTATTATTATTCTTTACTTTATTTAAACACATAAACAATGGTACGCGTAGTCACTAAACAGATGTGCTCCACATAAATCATTCAATTTATGTGAGGGCTGAGATTGCTGCTCAGGTGCTCAAACCGACGTAGGTGCATTTCTTAGGAGGCCACACCTCGAGCCTTTGGCTTGCAGGTCTAGTGCACAAGGTAGTGGAGCAACGTCAGGAGATGCAGTTCCGTGGTAGCTAGTCACCAACAATCAGTTCATACACCTTTTGTTCCCTCAGGATAGTGGAGCCCATGTACACCATCAGTTTGAAAAGAAGGTTTCTTCAACTGCCCTAGGTGGATTCTTCATATTCACCAACCCATTTAAAGCGTCCAACACTCGCCTTTCATCCTTCTCCTAATTTCATAAACAACAACCCCCTTGACGACAATGTAGTAAAAGTAGGATTTCCCTGTCACATCATTTCAAGAAGGAGAACTGACTCTTCTCATTCTCAGTCATTGTTATTATCCTTATTTATACCTATTCTCTTTTTTTCTTTTTCTTTCATATACTTTATCAGGATTTATCACATATGACATCTATATGTGATTGTACAAGTTTACATTTTACTCAAAATGATAAAACAGATTCATTCAATTTAATCATTGGTTGGGAAGGGTCGGCTATTTTAAGACATGGCTCAATTATACAATTTGGTTGTTATAAATTCATTTTTAGTTTAGTAAATCATTCTTTACCTTCCTATCCATCATCATCATCAACTTCATCATCATCCTCAACTTCAACATGGATGACAATGAATAATAGTTCAACACAATCTCCTCATGAATCACCAGTATTACTTACAGATTCTTTATCAGTAGTAACAAAAGATTTTTTTAAAATTATCTAAAAATAACAACTTACTTGTTCATCAATTTTGTTTTATTCCTTTATTAAAATAAATAAAAAAGAAAGAAAGAAAGATAAGAATAAAGAGAGGAAACGATGTAAACAGTATTATCATTCCTATGAATTTATACTACTTATAAACTACTTATATATAGATAGATATATAAATTTGTACATTTGTGTTGTATGAAATTTATGATTACGAGTATTATTATCGCATTTTAACTAAATAACATCACTTTTATCATTCATTGTCTTGACCTGAAATGAAAATGATCATTGTATAGTTAGTTAGTTCGTTAGTTACAACGCAGTAACAGGCACATATGTGCATCGGTTCAAGTTGATATAACTAATTACCACAGCAAGATGAAAACCGTATTCATAGGAGTAGTTAAGTCAATGGTAGTAATGTACAAAAAAAGACTGCATATAAGGATATAATACAGGAAGAAAGCATTAGTGAATTGTAAGAAAAAAATAAAACCATTTTAATATTCAAATTTAAAAAAGGCCAAGATTGCATACAACTACGCCATTGTCAACGATGACTTGTTGGTATTGTCGAGTGTATCAGTCAATCAATCAATCACACACAAACAGATATACAGGATCAGTGGAATATAACTTGTTGGCACTGCATCCACTATACACATAGTAGTAGGCATAAATCAAGTCAGGTCAACCACTGATTGATCGATGTCAATTGAAAATCACAGAATTTCTAAACATCAACAAATTAAACCACTTCCATCCATCTTGTCCTACTTATGAAATTCGCGGTCAACCGAGTTGACTGATTGTGGTTTGTATTCGCCTGAACAAATATCTGGTGTTGTTGCTCTGTAATGCAACTAGTGAAAGGTGTTTATATGTGCTGCTGACGTCAAGTTGTCAAGTTGTGATTATCACGTGTGTGAGTGGATTATGAGACCAGGAGATGGTGCAGCAACATGGAACGCAACCCGATTGGATGTGATGCAATGGAACTCAACGCAACGCAACGTAACGCAATGGAATGCAATGAAATGCAATGCAACGCGATACAAAATAAACCAACGATATTTAGTTGATTTCACTGTGCTACTGAAATGCTCGACAGTAGTTTGTTGTTTAGTGGAGTACATGATCGGGAATTCGTTGTGTAAACTGAATATACTACTGATGAGTTGATGGTGAATTGTTGAGTTCATGCAGTAGTGTTGTTGAGTCACGAGATTGTGGAGTGTGTAGTGTAGTTTAGATTATGTGTAGAAGAGTGTGTGGTGTGTTTGTTGATGTATGAAGAAGATTGCGTTGAGATGTGCACAGCTGTTGCAGATGTGAGTGTGAAGCGTGTTGTTGTGAGGTGTGTTAGTGTTGTCGTCTACAAACCGTGCATCAGAAAAGGAGAGATGGTTGGCAGTCCCCTGCACAAGGTCGGACAGGGTATCTGATGCGCACTCTTCTGAGGCGTGAAACATCCGCTACTTTCGGATGGCCTTTTTCCCAATTACATACATCTCATGTGTATCACTCACCTCACATCACCCCACCTAACCTCACAGCTAACTAACTCACTCAATTTCTACTTACGCCTGTTACTCCCAATGGAGCATAGGCCGCCGACCAGCATTCTCCAAACCATTCTGTCCTGGGCCTCCTTTTCTAATTCCATCCAATTCTTGTTAATCTTTTTCATGTCTATTTCCATTTCTCGGCGTAATGTGTTCTTTGGTCTTCCTCTCCTCCTTTGGCCTTGAGGATTCCATGTGAGGGCTTGCCTTGTGACGCAGTTGGGTGCTTTTCTCAATGTGTGTCCTATCCACTTCCAGCGCTTCTTTCTGATTTCTTCCTCCGCTGGATTCTGGTTTGTTATCTCCCACAGTACGTTGTTGCTAATAGTGTCCGGCCAACGGATCTGAAGTATTTTGCGTAGACAACTGTTAATAAACACCTGTATCTTCTAGATGATGGCTTTCGTAGTTCTCCAGGTTTCCGCCCCATACAGTAGAATTGTCTTGACATTTGTATTGAAAATCCTGACCTTGGTGTTGGTTGACAGTTGTTTTGAGTTCCAGATGTTCCTCAGTTGTAAATATGCTGCTCTTGCTTTGCCGATCCGCGCCTTCACATCTGCATCAGATAAACCATGTTCATCAATGATGCTGCCCAAATATGTAAAGGTTTTTACATCTTCCAAATCTTCTCCGTCAATTGTGATTGGATTGGTGCATGCTGTGTTGTATCGGAGAATGTTGCTTTTCCTTTTCTGTATATTGAGACCTATTGCTGCTGAGGCTGCTGCTACACTGGTCGTCTTCTCCTGCATTTGTTGTTGCGTTTGAGATAGAAGTGCCAGATCATCTGCTGAGTCTAAATCGTCCAACTGCATCCTAGATGTCCATTGTATCCCGTGCTTCCCTTCAGGTGTTGACGTCTTCATGATCCAGTCGATCACCAGGAGAAAGAGAAAGGGTGAGAGTAAGCAACCTTGCCTAACACCGGTCTTCACTTCGAACGACTTTGTCAACTGTCCTCCATGCACGATTTTGCAGTGTAATCCATCATATGAACTCTGTATGATATTGACTATCTTCTGAGGCACGCCGTAGTGTCGAAGAAGCTTCCATAGTGTTGTTCTGTTCACGCTATCAAATGCCTTTTCGTAGTCAATGAAGTTGATGTTGAGTGATGAATTGCATTCAGTTGATTGTTCCACAATGTTCCGTAGAGTTGTGATTTGGTCTGTACACGATCTATCCTTACGGAATCCTGCCTGTTGGTCACGAAGTTGGGCGTCTACGCAGTCCTTCATCCTGTTTAACAATACTCTGTTGAAGACTTTCCAGGTATTGAGACGAGAGTGATGCCCCTGTAATTATCACACTTGCTGAGATTGCCTGTCTGCGGTATTTTGATAAGGAGTCCTTCTTTCCAGTCTTTTGGTACATGTTCCTCATCCCAAATCTTATTGAAGAGAATGTGCAGTATCCTTGCAGTTGCCGCTACGTCTGCTTTTAGTGCTTCTGCTTCACTCAATTCACTTCAATTCAATCACAATCACTCAACTCCCACTGATCAATAACCAGACACATATTCCACACATTCACTCTACATCAATATCCAACAACACATTCTTCATCACTACAATTCGCAACACATACAACTCAACCACCAACCTACTCAACCAATCACTCACTAACTCCATCATACGCACACACAACACCATTAATCATTCACGATCTTTATTGAGGTTGGCTTGTTTCCCAAAATAATCACTGAATACACCCAAAATCTCCACATACACACACACATACACAATTTGTAAATTCTGTGAATCGCTGGTCGTCTAGTTTCCCAGTGCATTGATGTTAGGAAGGTGGGAGAGTAGAGAAACATGTGAGTGGTGAGTACGACTCTAACGACGCTAACGATCGACATGAGAATATGGAGGAGAGAAGAGGAGAAGAAAATGTGAGAACACTGTCGAGTGTATCAGTCAATCAATCAATCACACACAAACAGATATACAGGATCAGTGGAATATAACTTGTTGGCACTGCATCCACTATACACATAGTAGTAGGCATAAATCAAGTCAGGTCAACCACTGATTGATCGATGTCAATTGAAAATCACAGAATTTCTAAACATCAACAAATTAAACCACTTCCATCCATCTTGTCCTACTTATGAAATTCGCGGTCAACCGAGTTGACTGATTGTGGTTTGTATTCGCCTGAACAAATATCTGGTGTTGTTGCTCTGTAATGCAACTAGTGAAAAGTGTTTAGATGTGCTGCTGACGTCAAGTTGTCAAGTTGTGACTATCACGTGTGTGAGTGGATTATGAGACCAGAGGATGGTGGAAGTACTGGACGGTCTTTTCGTCCTAGTAGGGGGCTCCTCATCAGTGCGCATCCACGATTTCGCCCCCCGCGAGATTCGAACCCAGGACCTATCAGTCTCGCGCCAGGCGCTTAACGATCTAGATCGCTGTAGAGATCAACCAGGTCTGTTGTGAGATTACAGCTCACTGAAGACAATGGTGTACTGTGGTGTAACTTCGTGGATTGGTTGAAGTTAGACATTAACACTATTGGATGCCGGCTCAGTGGTCTAGTTGGTTATGCGCCTGGCACGAGACCGATAGGTCCTGGATTTGTATTACATAATTGTTTATCTAAAGTAAATTTTTTTATAATCAAACTGTCTCTTTCAGTTAATAATTAAAAATTTCAATTATTTACTATCTAAAATTTAAAGGGAACATAATAACCCATGTCATAATCACATTACATAATAAGTCACTATGTAATATACATAAGTTAAATTAATCATTCATCTGTCATCTATTGAAAACATAAATGACACATAGTAATATAGGAAATAGTATCTAATTTCATATTGTCAAGGTAGGGGGAGGTATTTGGTGGGGGGAAGGAGAACGAGGAGTAAAACGAAGAGGGAGTTAGAGTTAGTGTTTCAATTCTAATTGTTATTGTCATGTCCTCCTCCTCCTCCCCCACCACGTTTGTTTGTTTCTATGATTGATTTAAATAATAGTTCTTTTATGAAACTTGAATAGATCATTCATTTATTCTCTTATTTAAATGGAATATAATACAGCGTAATAAAAAATGAGCATTGAAATTGTAGACTATTTATTATTAGAAACAAAATTAATTTAAGAGTTGAATTCATGAGTCAATTGATGTTAGACCAACCATTAAAAACCTGAAAGCATTGAATGGCCGTTTCGTCCTAGTATGAGACTCTTCAACAGTGCGCATTCATGATCCTGCTTCATAACATTCGAAACCAGGACCATTTAGCCGGCCGGTATCCAACGGAGTTAATGTGTAACTCCAACCAATCCACGATATTGACCCACCGTCCATCATTGTCACTTGGCTGAACAACACTGGTCACGACTTCCTACTAGGACTCCAGGAAATCCATCTTGGAGACAGTCACTACTAAGCATATGATGATTATAATCAGAGAAGGGGCTTTGTGAATATTATAATAATTTAGTAGTTAAATTCATGA